ACATTTCTTAAAAAGAAGGAACGCACTGGTGAGCTCAGCAACACCAAAATACCCGGAAGACCACGGAAAACAACTGTGGTGGATGATCGAAGAATTCTTTCCCTTGTGAAGAAAACACCCTTCACAACAGTTGGCCAGATCAAGAACACTCTCCAGGAGGTAGGTGTATGTGTGTCAAAGTCAACAATCAAGAGAAGACTTCACCACAGTGAATACAGAGGGTTCACTAAAAGATGTATACCATTGGTGAGCCTCAAAAAACAGGAAGGCCAGATTAGAGTTTGCCAAACAACATCTAAAAAAGCCTTCACAGTTCTGGAACAACATCCTATGGACAGATGAGACCAAGATCACTTGGTACCAAAGTAATGGGAAGAGAAGAGTATGGAGAAGGAAAGGAACTGCTCATGATCCTAAGCATACCACCTCATCAGTGAAGCATGGTGGTGGTAGTGTCATGGCGTGGGCATGTATGGCTGCCAATGGAACTGGTTCTCTTGTATTTATTGATGATGTGACTGCTGACAAAAGCAGCAGGATGAATTCTGAAGTGTTTTGGGCAATATTATCTGCTCATATTCAGCCAAATGCTTCAGAACTCATTGGACGCCGCTTCACAGTGCAGATGGACAATGACCCAAAGCAGACTGCAAAAGCAACCAAAGAGTTTTTTTAAGGGAAAGAAGTGGAATGTTATGCAATGGCCAAGTCAATCACCTGACCTGAATCCGATTGAGCATGCATTTCACTTGCTGAAGACAAAACTGAAGGGAAAATACCCTAAGAACAAGCAGGAACTGAAGACAGTTGCAGTAGAGGCCTGGCAGAGCATCACCAGGGATGAAACCTAGCGCCTGGTGATGTCTATGCGTTCCAGACTTCAGGCTGTAATTGACTGCAAAGGATTTGCAACCAAGTATTAAAAAGTGAAAGTTTGATTTAGGATTATTATTCTGTCCCATTACTTTTGTTCCCTTAACAAGTGGGAGGAGCACATATGCAAACTGTTTGTAATTCCTACACCGTTCACCTGATTTGGATGTAAATACTCTCAAATTAAAGCTGACAGTCTGCAGTTAAAGCACATCTTGTTTGTTTCATTTCAAATCAATTGTGGTGGTGTATAGAGCCAAAAATGTGAGAATTGTGTCGATGTCCCAAAATTTATGGACCTGACTGTATCTTCGTTCCTTCAACCTCTTGCTGTCTACAGAACATTCCCTCTCAAAAGATCCAGGGGTGGAACAATTTCTTCTGGCTCTAGTAAGCTCACCCACTGGAACTGCTGGGATAGTGTATTCTGGGTGACAACTTGAAGCCAGGAGGAGGGAATTTTCTGCATAAGCTTTGTGGAAAGTATTAGTATCTACTCTGCCTGTGGTAGAATCCCCTGTCAAAGTCACATCTAGAAAGTTGATAGTGGTCCTCACAGTTTCATGAGAAAATTCTAAATTTAGTATATTGTTATTAGTAGATTCAACATTTTCTTCTAGGGATATATTGGTTAAGGTGGAAGAAGAGAAAAAGCTCCTCCCACCAACCCATATAAAGATTCGCCAGTCAGGGTGAAAACCTTGCACCCATACACACAAACTGGTACTGCAGGTAATATGTGTCATCAAAAACAAAGAAATTATTTTCTAACAGAAAATGGACCACATGTACCAAAAATTATTTAAGTGTTGATTCATACCTACTATAGTGGAGTAAATGGTATTGCAATGCCTCAATGGCTAGATTATGTGGGATTACAGAGTACAGAGATCTGATATCTATAGTGACCCACATGTAATTCTGCTGCCAGTTTATATTATTCACCTGAGCCAGTAAAGAAGATGTATCTTTTAACATATCCAGGCAATCGTACTACCAAGGGCTGTAGATATATATATCCGTCCACTCTCCTAAATTCTCAAAGAGGGATCCAATCCCTGACACTATTGGCCGTCCTTTCACAGGTATATAATTTTTGTGTACCTTGGACAGGTGATGGAACACAGGTACAATTGGGCGCTCCACTGTGAGCTCTTCTACTAGTTTTATGGTAAAGACCCCCAGATCCCTGCCCTGGTCCAATAAATGTGATAACTGGTGTTTAAACAATGTAGTAGGATCACTCTTCAGAGGACAGTAGGTGGTGAACTCTTGTTACTGTCTAAGGGCCTCCCCTCTATAATCCTCAGAGGAGAGTATGACTAAAACACCTCCTTTATCAGCTTCTCTGATGACTATATCAGTGCAGATTTTTAACCGTTTCAGAGCCATTCACTCTGAGCGACAGAAATCTTTTTTTGGGGGGTAAAGTAGCCAATACTCTCCCATGTAACTCCATGAGTTCTCTCTCCACCACACTCTGAAAAGCATCTATAGCATTACTTCTCAAATGTATAGGGTAAAAGTATTTGTCACCTCTAAGCGTTTTTTCTGTGATGTCACCATAGAGTCCACCTGCTGATTCTGAAAGCAGCTTGTGCAACGATGATTTAACAACTCAATTAAAGAACTTGAAACTAGAAAAATCGTGAAATTACCGACTCAATATCTGACGCAGAGGTGGAATATGGTGGAGGATTAGAATGCATAACATCAGAAAAGTGTTTTCTCAAAAGTATATTACGTGTAAATTTATTTACATCTAAAATAGTTGAAAAACACATCAAAATGTGACATGGAGGAAAAGGATAAACCCCTAGACAGTAGGGAAACCTCAGATGAAGATAGTGGAATAATTGAAAGATTAATGACACAGTCAGGCATAATAGTACTTTTATTTACCTGAATTAGTCCTATTTGTTCTTCGACCTCCGTGGATATTTTATCCTGAAATTTCTTGCAGGCATGCCTCCCTCTCCTGATTTTGCTTTATTTTTCTGTTGTCCTTGGAGTGGAAGGAAGCCACTGAGTTTTTTTGTCCTTGCATCCACAGGGCCATCCTTGGTGAATACTGAGGCAGCTTAGCTCCTTGATGTAACTGAGGATCTGCCATCTGTAGTATCAGAAAAATCAGATGTTTTATTTTTACTTTTTTTCATACTTTGGTATTTTATAATGTCTTTTGTGTTTTCCTCCCATCTGTAAGAGACATCCAAGACACCTGATGGATAATGGACTAATTAATCTAATTGATGGAGCCATGTGCAGTGGGAGGAGGTTTTACAGAGATGGTCTTTGTGTCTAGTATTTAAATATGTTTGTTCTGAGTTGTTTTATGGCTATGAATAAGGTTTTTGACCGAAACGCGTAAGCTAATGTAACTTGCACACTGTACCCTTTATAAATAAAGTAGTTTTATCGGGAGAACGAGTTAACGGCTCTTCATCCTATACGCTTATGCTGTTCAAAGTGCCAGGAAGACACTGCGAGCTTTGGGGCACCGTTGGTCTACATCCAGGGGGATTCTATCTGGCGTACATTTTCTTTTGTAGAAAAGTAACTATACCCATAATCTTTTTCAGAAATAAGTCAAATGTGTTCCTAGTGTCAGGGCTCCCGGGTATGACCAGAAGTGTGTGACTGACGCAGGGAAACGCAGACTTCAGATATGTTATAAACAATGTAATTTATTAACACTAACCATACAAACATAAACGCAGGATATCAAAGACTGGCACACGGGCAGGACTCCGGGCAGAGGCACATCGGGCTGGACTCCGGGCAGAGGCACATCGGGCTGGACTCCGGGCAGAGGCACATCGGGCTGGACTCCGGGCAGAGGCACATCGGGCTGGACTCCGGGCAGAGGCACATCGGGCTGGACTCCGGGCAGAGGCACATCGGGCAGGACTCCGGGCAGAGGCACACCGGGCAGAGGCACATCGGATTACCAGGCGAAGCAGCAGGCACCGGGCCCCCAGGCGGGGCAGCAGGCACCGGGCCCCCGGGCAGAGCAGCAGGCAGCGGGCCCCCGGGCGGGGCGACAGGCATCGGGCCCCCAGGCATCGGGCCCCCGGGCGGGGCGACAGGCATCGGGCCCCCGGGCGGAGCAGCAGGCAGCGGGCCCCCGGGCAGAGCAGCAGGCAGCGGGCCCCCGGGCGGGGCAACAGGCAGCGGGCCCCCGGGCGGGGCAACAAGGAGCGGGGCGACGGACGTCGGGCCCCCGGACGGGGCGACGGGCGTCGGGCCCCGGGGAGACGGGCGGGGCGGGCGGGGCGGGGCGTCGGGCCCCCGGGCGGGGCGGCGGGCGCCGGGTCCCCGGGCGGGGCGGCGGGCGCCGGGTCACCGGGAGGGGCGACGGGCGTCGGGCCCCCGGGCGGGGCGACGGGCGTCGGTCCCCCGGGCGGGGCGGGGGCCCCCGGGGCGGGCCCCCGGGCGGGGGGCGACGGGCGTCGGGCCCCCAGGCGGGGCGACGGGCGTCGGGCCCCCAGGCGGGGCAGCAGGCACCGGGCCCCCGGGCAGAGCAGCAGGCAGCGGGGTCCCCCGGGCAGAGCAGCAGGCAGCGGGCCCCCGGGCAGAGCAGCAGGCAGCGGGCCCCCGGGCGGGGCAGCGGGCCCCCGGGCGGGGCGACAGGCATCGGGCCCCCGGGCGGGGCGACAGGCATCGGGCCCCCGGGGAGCGGAGCAGCAGGCAGCGGGCCCCCGGGCAGAGCAGCAGGCAGCGGGCCCCCGGGCAGAGCAGCAGGCAGCGGGCCCCCGGGCGGGGCGGGGCAACAGGCAGCGGGCCCCCGGGCGCGGGGCCCCAAGGAGCGGGGCGACGGGCGTCGGGCCCCCGGGACGGGGCGACGGGCCCCCCGGCGGGGCGACGGGCGGGCGCCGGGTCCCCGGGCGGGGCGGCGGGCGTCGGGCCCCCACCGGGAGGGGCGACGGGCGTCGGGCCCCCGGGCGGGGCGGGGCGACGGGCGTCGGTCCCCCGGGCGTCGGGCCCCCAGGCGGGGCGACGGGCGTCGGGCCCCCGGGCGGGGCGACGAGCGTCGGGCCCCCAGGCGGGGCGACGGGCGCCGGACCCCCAGGCGGAGCGGCAGGTCTCGGGCCCTCAGGCGGAGCGACAGGTCTCGGCCCCCAGGCGGAGCGGCGGGCGCCGGACCCCCAGGCGGAGCGGCGGGTGTCGGACCCCCAGGCGGAGCGACAGGTCTCGGGCCCCCAGGCGAAGCGGCGGGCACCGAGTCACCAGGCACGACAGTGGGCTCCGAGTCAACTGGCATGACCGCGCGCACTGGGGCAGACATTGAATCGTCTGGCTGGACAGCGGGCATCGGGTCACCAGGCATCAGGTCATTTGGCTCGACAGCGGGCACCGCGTCATCTGGCAAGGCAGTGGGCTCCGAGTCAACAGGCACGACAGTGGGCACCGGGTCATCAGGTATCGGATTGTCTGGCTCGACAGCGGGCATCGGGTCACCAGGTATGACAGCGGGCACTGGGTCACCAGGCATCAGGTCATGTGGCTTGCCAGCGGGCACCGCGTCATCTGGCAAGGCAGTGGGCACCGGGTCACCAGGCATTGGATCGTCTGGCTCGACAGCGGGCATCGGGTCACCAGGTATGACAGCGGGCACTGGTTCACCAGGCATCAGGTCATTAGGCTTGCCAGCGGGCACCGCGTCATCTGGCAAGGCAGTGGGCACCGGGTCACCAGGCATTGGATCGTCTGGCTCGACAGCGGGCATCGGGTCACCAGGTATGACAGCGGGCACTGGGTCACCAGGCATCAGGTCATTTGGCTCGCCAGCGGGCACCGCGTCATCTGGCAAGGCAGTGGGCACCGAGTCACCAGGTACGACAGCGGGCTCTGAGTCAATTGGCACGACAGCGGGCACCGGATCAACAGCGGGCATCGAGTCAACTGGCCTAATAGGATCGTCAGGCTGGATCAGTTCATCATGCTGGGTAGAGGCGTCCGGCTGAGTAGAGGCTTCAGGCCGAGTAGAGGCTTCAGGCCGAGTAGAGGCATCAGGCCGAGTAGGGGCATCAGGCCGAGTAGGGGCTTCAGGCCGAGTAGAGGCTTCAGGCCGAGTACAGGCATCAGGCCGCGTACAGGCATCAGGCCGCGTACAGGCATCAGGCCGCGTACAGGCATCAGGCCGAGTAGAGGCATCAGGCTGAGTAGAGGCTTCAGGCTGAACCACGGAAGGCAGGTTCATCGGTTTGGATACTGGCAGGATGGAATTGGTTGGAAAGAATTTTCGCTTTTTTCTGGTTTTAACTACTGGAGCACTGCAAGTAAACGCAGGTCTGCAAACGAATGGAGCAGCTGGAGACAGAGAAGAACTGGAGGATGGAACAGGAGAGGGAGCAGTTGCTACAGAGGGCTTTTTTACAGGGTTAAAGGCAGGATAGGTGCAGCGAGTGGGAACAGGGTACTGACATGCGGTAGATAGCAGGGCAGGAGGAGCTGTTGGGAATGCAGGAATAGAGTTTTGAGGAAATAGATTAGAAGCAGGACTGGGTCTTTGTAAGCTGACTGAGGCTGGGTGCAACAAATCTGTCCATGTCTGCAGTATGGGTTGAACAAAGCTGAGCTTACACAAAGCCTGTCTGACCAAAGACTGCACTGCGTTTATACAATCTCTTAGTGTCTGTGGTGAACATGTGGAATAACGCTCCAGAAAGTAACCCACATCATCCTCTAATAACCATACCAGGGACTCTACCTGGTAGGCACTAAATGGCGGCAAAAATTCATCCCTGCATTCGGGGGTACCAGATGAAACCAACTCAGCACAAACCTCAATCAAAGGCTGCACCTCAGAGAACTCTGTGCCCTGATCTACTAGAACATGAGCGAGCTGTATACATTCTAGCAGTTCATCCCGGGGATACTCCTTCAGAGTTTGATAAGCATACTCCCTGTCATCAAACACTAGCAGATATAAATACGCAACCTCATCCAGATCCATCCTTCCCATCAACAAGCCAAGATGGCTTCCCTGTGCAGCCACTTCTGGTCAGGATTGGCCTTGGTGTAATGTCAGGGCTCCCGGGTATGACCAGAGGTGTGTGACTGACGCAGGGAAACGCAGACTTCAGATATGTTATAAACAATGTAATTTATTAACACTAACCATACAAACATAAACGCAGTGCAATACTAAAACATAACACAGTGCAAACAAACCAACCAACCACCCACAGATAACAGTACATACAATGCAAGCGTCGTCAGGCAGGCCGGGTCAATATCAGTCGGGCAGGTAGGTACAGGGGGAGCAAGCGGAGAATGGTCGGGGTCACAGGCCAGGTTCAGCAGGTAGTGGGCAGCGTGGTACAGAGGGTCAGGCAGAGGAGAATGGTCAGACAAGCCAGGGATCAGAGCAGGGTCAGCAGAGAATCAGACAGGAACAGGGAGCAGGAACAGGATACAGGGCCCAAGAGAAACACAACACCAAGGCAGAGTCTGCAGGTCTGAATGTCCCTTAAATACACCAGTATGATTAGTTCCAGGTGTTTGACTGGCTGCAAGGTTGAGTCTCTGATTGCTGGGAGCACCCGCTGGCCAGCCCTGGTACTGCAGCTCATAAGGCAGCTGATTCCCACTATTGCTGGCCAGTCCATTCCTGACACCTAGGCATGTTTAACCATGGGATTTCACCCATAATTCCCATGTAAAAAAAATAACTATTCTCATATTCTTATCAGAAACATGTCAAATGTGTTCCTAGGCATATGTAGTCATTATAATCCACCCATAATATCCATGTATTGACATTGGTATCCACACTAATTCACCCGTAATCCCCATGCAGGAAAAAAAAAACTATTCTCATATTCTTATCAGAAACACATCAAATGTGTTCATAGGCATGTTTAGCCATGATATTTAAACTATAATCCCAATGTAGAAAAAACTACTCTCATATTCTTATCCGAAAAAGGTCAAATATGGTCCTAGGCATGTGTATCCACATTAATCCACCCATAATCCCAAAATATAAAAATAACTATTCTCACATGCTTATCAGAAACAGGCCAAATGGGTTCCGATGCATGTTTAACCACCTCCCGCCCGCCTTATACTAATATGACAGACGCAAGGTGGTTCTCTCGTTCTTGGAGGACGTCAAATGACGTCCTCTCATTCTCACCGTGCATGCGCGGCTCAGGAAGCGCGCAGCACGGCGATCGGTGGTGCGCTGTGTCCCTCAGACACAGTGGATCACCGATCATGGAAAGAGCCGAAGATGTCAGCTCGGTCATGTGATCAGCTGTGTCCAATCACAGCTGATCACATGTAAACAGGGAAATGCCGGTTATCGGCATTTCTCTCCTCTCAAGCTGTCACGCTGACAGCTCGAGAGGAGAAGAGAGCAGGTAATCTGCTTTCCGAGGAGGGGACATCTACACTGATCATCAGGGCACTGATGATCAGTGTTCCCTGATGATCAGTATAGCCCCAGCAGCGCCACCTGTAAGTGCTCATCAATGCCCCGTGCCAGTGCCCATCAGTGCCACATCAATGCCAGATATCAGTGCCTACCAGTGCACATTAATGCCACATATCAGTGCCCATCTGAGCTGCCTTTCATTGTCACCCATCAGTGCCAGTCAGTGCCACCTATCAATGCCAATCAGTGCCACCTATCAGTGCTGCCAATCAGTGCCACCTATCAGTGCCGCCTAACAGTACCAGCCAGTGCCGCATATCAGTGCCAGTCAGTGCTGCCTATCAGTGCCATGTATCAGTGCTGCCTTTCAGTGCCCATCAGTGATGCCTGTCAATGCCCATCAGTGCCACCTATCAGTGTCCATAAGTGCAGCCTATCAGTGCCCATCACTGCAGCCTCATTAGCGCATATCAGTGAAGGAGAAAAATCACTTAATTACAAAATTTCATAACTAAAACTAAGAAAAAAAAACGTTTTTTTTTTCCAAATTTTTTTGTGGTTTTTGGTTTTTCAAGAAAAAATAAAAAACCCAGAGGTGATTAAATACCACCAAAATAAAGCTATATCTGTCACAAAAAAATGATACAAATTTCATATGGGTACAATGTTGCATGACCGCGCAATTTTCATTCAAAGTGCAACAATGCTGAAAGCTGGAAATTGGCCTGGGCAGGAAGAGGGTATAGGTGCCCTGTAGGCTAGTGGTTAACCATGATATTCCACCCATAATTCCCATGCAGAAAAATAACTATTCTCATAATTTTATCAGAAACAGGTAAAGCATGGCATGTGTATCGACAATAATCCACCCATAATCCCCATCTATAAAAATAACTATTCTCACATTCTTATCAGAAACAGGTCAAATATGGTCTTTGGTATGTGTATCCATGATATTCCAGCCAAAATCCCCATGTATAAAAATAACTATTTTCATAATCTTATCAGAAACAGGTGAAATGAGTTCCGAAGCATGTTTAACCATGATATTCCACCCATAATCCCCATGTAGAAAAATAAGTATTCTCATATTCCTATCAAAAAAAACAGGTCAAGTATGGTCCTTGGCATGTGTATCCACAATAATCCACCCATAATCCCCATTTTGAAAAATAATTTTTTTGCATTTGCTTATCCAAAATAGGTAAAATATGTTCATTTTTAAGGGTAACCATGATATTCTCCCAATAATCCAAAAATATAAAAGTAATTTTCCCCAAATTCTTATCTAAAATAGTGAAATGTATTATGTGGGATGTGTAACCATTATATTTCATCCATGCAAATCAACAATATCAGAAATTTATCAGAAATGCATCAGTTTTTTTCCTTGGTGTTTGTAAATTATAATCTTAATTTTTGAAACATCTTTTTTTCCAGGTTCCTAATAAAACAGTTGAAAATGTAGTGCTTTAACTGCCTCCCGCCCGCCATATAAGGTAATGATGGGCGCAAGGCGGTTCTCTCATTCTGGGAGGATGTCATGTGACGTCCTCCCACTCTAACCGCTCATGCGCGGCTCCGGGAGCGCGCAGCACGACAATCAGTGGGGCGCTGTGTCCCTCGGACACAGCGGATCACCAATCAACGGAAAGAGCCGAAGATGTCGGCTCGGTCATGTGATAGGCTGTGTCCAATCATCAGGGCACTGTTATCGGTATTTTCTCTCCTCATGAGCTGTCAGTGCCCATCAATGCCAGCTGTCTGTGCTTATCAATGCCACTTGCCAGTGCCCATCAGTGCCACATCAATACCACATATCAGTGCCTACCAGTGCACATCAATGCCACATATCAGTGCCCATCTGAGCTGCCTTTCAGTGCCACCTATCAGTGCCAGTCAGTGCCACCTAGCAATGCCAGTTAGTGCCACCTATCAGTGCCAGTCAGTGCTGGCTATCAGTGCCACCTATCAGTGCCCATCAGTGATGTCTATTAATGCCCATCAGTGCCACCTACTAGTGCCTCTTCATCAGTGCCCTTCAGTGCAGCCTATCAGTGCCCATCACTGCAGCCTCATTAGCGCACATCAGTGAATGAGAAAAATCACTTATTTATAAAAATTTTTAACAGAAACTAAGAAAAAACTTTATTTTTTTCTCAAAATTTTCAGTTGTTTTTGGTTTGTTTAGCAAAAAATTAAAAACCCAGAGGTTATTAAATACCACCAAAAGAAAAACTCTGTCTCAAAAAAAATGATAAAAATTTCATATGGGTACAGTGTTGCATGACCGCGTAATTGTCATTCTAATTGTGACAGCACTGAAAGCTGAAAACTGGCCTGGGCAGGAACGGGGTATAAGTGCCTTGTAGGCAAGTGGTTAAACATACATGTACTGTATAACATCCGTAAATCTTTTCCTAGAAGTATGTTGAGTAATGTTTACATTATTTCTGTATAATTTACTAT